CCATCCATCCATCCATCCATCCATCCATCCATCCATCCATCCATATATATATATACTCATATCTCTCACCTGCATGTGTAACCCCTTCGCTCGACCGCAAGCCGGTGACAGAGCGATCGACGAGTTACACAGACAGGGCCACAATATTATGGGCCGTAAAATAAACTTATCGGTCGGTGTCTGACTCTCCAATTCGCTCTCCCATCTGCCGACAGATACTCGGAGATATCCCGATAGCTCTCATCGCGGCGCTCGCCTACATGGCTCCAGCATACTGGATCGCAGAGATGAGCAGCTTTCGGAGTACGTGGGGCATGTACCTAGCGCTGATGTTCATCTACATATATGGTCTCCGCCTTATGGCCATCGCTCTATCCAACGTCTCCCGACGCGACATCAACGCCGCCAGCGCCGCATATCTGATCGTCGCCTTCCTCGGAGCGTCGTGCGGCTGGATCGTGCATCCCCGCATACTGAAGAACGCGCACGTGTTCTTCTGGTCGATGTACGTTTCGAATTCGCACTGGGCGTACCGAGAGATGATCCAGCACGAGATGGCAGCACTGTACAACTACAGCTACCCGTGCGGGCCGGCGACGACGACGACAACGACGGTGCGGCCACAGTTGATCATAACCGAGCCGGAGCAGGAGGGCGTGAAGCTCTGTTGGGCAAACACAGAGGACTTTCTCTCGCACTACGGCATGCAGGAGCGCATGGACGCCTGGATCCCGTTCGTCGTCGTAGCTGCGTTCGGTCTCTTCTTCTTCGTCTTCGCCTTCATCGCCATCGCCATGTTCCGAGTGAAGCCGAGGAGGGCGCCACGTGCGCAGAGCGATCCCGTCACGAGAGCAATGAGCGAGCACCAGTCCGTCTTCACTATGTAGAAGTACGTACAGTACCGTACAGTACCGCACATTACCGTATAGAACCGTATAGTACCTCTACTGTATAAGTATCTCGCTCTTCTTCCTCGTGACTAATGTGACAATACGGCGCTTAAGGCGAGAACAAAATTTTTCATCAACTCCGTAACTGTCACTCGTTAGCCGATTATCTTCCTCCAGTTGTGATTATCCAGATTCGTATCTGCCTTCACAGTCCGGTGTAAAACTGTCTGCAAACGCGTCTGTAGAAGCAGCAGGAAGCTTAAATGATGACCGACTTTGATATGACCGTCGGGCGTGGCTGCGAAAAGGCGCTTGCAAAACCTCGAACGCACGAATCCCTTACTCGTCTTTACTCGTTAGATGCAGGCACGGAAACAGCCGAGGTCTGTCGATTGCACATTCCCGTAGGTACGACTCCAGATCTATCTCGAATCACATTATATACATCACATATCGAATTCAGCATCGTTATTATTGCATGGCATTCTCATTCGACTTCGTTATACGTGTCTAGAAGCGAAATACAGTGTGCATATATATATTGGATAATTTATAACAGACTATACACGGTACCGAAATCTGTAACTTTCTCTAATTCTCTTTCTCACCATAACGTAGTCGCTGAATGTGCATGAAACGTAGCCGTCTATAATTATTTACTATTTACTTCAACCGGTAAACACGAAATATCGCCCCCATCAACATAAACATCACATAAACATCAATGTATATAATTAACATCTAAATTGTAATGTTTATTGACTATAATTATATATATATTACGCAGCAGTTATGTACATTTTTTATCTGTAACCTAGTTTTGTGCTTGGTTACTACCCAAGCAGTAAGTTAGCGTTCGTAAATAAGCAAGGTGTTAGTTTATTCGCGCGATGATATACATTTTCAAGAGCGTATTAAGCATTAGTACGCAATAAGTAATACTTAAAACGCTCTTGATATTTTTTAGATATATTTTAAATAAATCTTTTTAATTACGGGTTTCCTATAAACAATTCATTATCTTCTGTTGGTGTTCATTGAGATTTTTTTCTATTATTCGCTGTGCAATGCCGCCACCATGGCCGATGCATCAACAAGGGAAATATATGTCCGCTTGTGAGATGTCATAATGCTACAGCATATAAATATAAATAAACGAAATGCACTGTACAAATGTTAATAACACGTTATATTGCTTGTTATCGTCAAGACGTTTGCGCACGAAAACACATTTAAAGGGTATGCGCAAATTTACAAGCCCGTAGGGGGACGTGAATGTGTATTTCATTAAACATTTTCAACTGTATATTAATAAGCACGTAAAGAAATCGGAAATTAGTTGCAATAATTCATTACCAGCGCAGTCGTATGTGGTGATTTAAACGTGAGTAACCTTGTATAAGCGCGCTTCACAAAACACCGCCTTACGTCCTTGATCAACCTAGTTATTACACACAGCAATAGATATACGCGATGGTTATGTCAATCGCTTATGTCAGTCGCCAAAAATGGTTTGTAAGTCGCTATATTTCTATTCGACATGGCCTCTATCAGTTCAGGATTGATCATCAGAAAGTACCGATTGATTGTTCTGATCGATCACCAGAATTGATCACAAAGTAATGTAAAGTTCATTAATGTACAATGTGTCGCTACTACATGATAAGCACGATACATTCATGATAAGCGCAATGTAAACGTGTTAATTCATGATAAGATACCTTCATGATATGCACGATGTAAACAACGTGTTAATTCATGATAAGATACCTTCATGATATGCACGTGTAAACAACGTGTTAATTCATGATAAGATACCTTCATGATATGCACGTGTAAACAACGTGTCAATTCATGATAAGATACCTTCATGATATGCACGTGTAAACAACGTGTTAATTCATAATAAGATGCATTCATGATAGTACGATGTAAACGTGTTCATTCATGATAAGATACATTCATGATAAGCACGTGTAAACGTATTCATTCATGATACGCACGATGTAAACGTGTTCATTCATGATATGATACATTCATGATAAGAACGATGTAAACGTGTTCATTCATGACATGATACATTCATGATAAGCACGAAGTAAACGTGTTCATTCATGATACGATACATTCATGATAAGCGCGATGCAAACGTGTTAATTCATGATAACATACATTCATGATAAACACGATGTAAACAACGTGTTCATGGCGTATTCCTGGCATATTGTACGTCGCTTTCCTAAGTACTCACGCATAGCAAAGAGAGCAGAAGGCAGAGGTGTAGAGATGGCACATGAAGCTGAACTATGAGTGATATCAAGAGAGTAACTTCCATTCAGAACAAACTCAAACACACCTACGCATAGATAAGTAAACATCCCCACCCACGTGCGTTACAATAAGCTTCATCCCTCACTAGTGGTAACCACCTCGGTTTGCTACGCCCTCATAAATGCCTCGGATGTGTGATAATAGTGAAATAACACGTAGAATCACCCAAATTATCCGTTATTCTGTGTCACAAGAGAAAGGTTCGGATATGCTTGCGAGTCAGTGAATTCTGAATAAACGAATTATTGAGGATTTGGATACACGAAAACAACACGAAGTGAAGCAATGTAGGCAAACATGCACTGCACGGCAAACGGTAAAGAGTCACACTCATAGTTAAGAAAGGGGCAAAACGGACCCTGATTATTAATTAGAATCAAATTATTAATAATGCGCGTTATATTCCTTCTCTACAATATCAAATGCCCAGTAGGCTGCTTATATCTGTATATATATATATAGAGAGAAATACACGTCAAGTCGATCAGAGCAATCCCAAAACACAAAACGCAATCTCATGCACTATCTCCTTGTATGATGTAATGTCCACGCACTGCTGTTACACCCATTGTTCCTGCGTGTGAAATAGGTGGTTGTACTGAGAAGACGGAACTCCGATCATCGATTCTCTGAAATCCGGTTGATAATTATCCCACTCGAAGGTAGCGTGCGTATCGATGGAGTATTGATTGTCAACTCCACGCTGTGTGACGGACTTGTTACATTCTAACGTCACGTCCGCTTGTCTGGCTCTGACGTCACCGCGCGGAAGCTCCGTGGCGCTAACTTGCCTCTTCAGCGACCGGGAATACACGCTAGGCACCCGCAGCCTCTCCGTGTCCGCGATCGGTTGATTGTGCCTGGGGACTTGCGCGGCGCCACCTTTAACCGACGTCCTCGCACTCGCTCTTCCGGCGCTGTTCGACAGCGCATTCTGCGAGGCAACGTCGTGCGGAACGTAGATAGTTACGCTCGTCTGCATGCCACTACCTTGCGTCGAGCTGTTCCACTTGTGCACGTCCTGGCTACGGCCCGTGTCGCTACCCTGGGAACATCCGCCGCTGCTCGCGCCGTAGTCGGTGCGTCGTGACACGCCAGCGCTGCTAGCAGCATCGACGTCGTCGGTCGAGTGGTGTGTCGTCAGCCACTCTCTGCAGGCGCTGCACACCTCCGATTGGTGTCGGCTGCGTGAAGACGGACGCAAAGAGGTGCGCAGGTGAGTTGTGAAGCCCTTTCGAGTACTGTATACGCTTACTCAGCAACCCGCAAGTAGTCAGGTCCCTTAGGGCAAAATATGGGCCGAATCGTTACAGGAGTGACAAAGTCTTGGCATAGTTGTAGCTTATGGCAGTACTATAATTATTAAAGGGGGTGCCCAATGCAGATATTCCTTAGAAGTGAATTACAGATGATTAAATGTTCGAACCACCCGACTCCGAACCCCCCTACCGCGCCCGTAATTTTAGAAATGTAATCGCGAATCCTCGCGGATCATTGTAGAGTTAGGCTACATTGAATCTACGGGGCCATGCCGACGCTACTATATTTATCTATGACGATACCGTGGTATATGTTGGGTAATTAATTACTATTCTGCTTTAACAAGACTCAAAGTCACAGGAGACATAGTAGAATGTGTTGTATGATGTATCCTAGAATTTCTAGAAAATGCGTAACTCTAAATTCTTCGCGAGATAGAGAGTTAGTACACTATTACGGGCCTAGCGCGGTATATATTATGCCTATGTGGCGATACGTGGTAGATTTTTTTGGTAATTAATTAAATTATTCGCTGCCTTCAATACTCAAAATTTCAGAGACATTAGCCTAAGAGATGCGTTATAGGTATCTAGATTTCTTAGAATGAAACTCAATTCGTTCGCGGTATGGAGTTAATATCTTTCCATTCGACCTATATGCGCATAGCGTATGCGCGCGGGGGGCGGGGGGGGCTAACAGCTGTTACAGATGCGCCATGTACAGGCGGCCGCGGTTTCGAAAATTTAATCATCTGTAAGTTCTTCTAAAGGAATAAATTACAATGGCACCCCTCCACCCATATTTAGAGTTATTAGCATACGCTACACTGGTGCCAAAGTTTGATTGCTTTTTCAGCGCTTTGTAAACGATCATTTGAAGCTAAGGGACTGACCTATAAGGAATATCTAATTGGGCCCATCACACCATATTTATAGTACTGCCATAGGTACAAAACTGTGCCAGTTGATGTTTTGTCAGCCTCTGTACACGATCATGTAGCTAAGGGACTGGACTATAAGGAATATTGAATTGGCACTCTAATATTTTATAGTAATGCCATTAGGCTACACTGGCCAAGTTTGATGCTTTTGTAGCCCGCTGTAAGCGTATCATGAAGCTATAGGGACCTGATAAAGTGTTTACAATCACATTTGCATTGCATAACGAGTGACGATCAGGCGCACGCTGCGCGATTCTATTCGACGGCTCCATTATCTCGGTATTATTTCGGTTATGAATTATTTCGCCGTGTTTTTATTTTCGCAGGTCGGGACGCGTTCACGAAATTCGCGAAATTAACACCCCGCAAATTATACAGCGTTTACAGTTTCTGTGCGCGTCGGGCTAACCACATATAGGGCTAACACTAACGCGTAGACGTAACAGATCTATCTATTTTCTATCTTAATTTATCTATCTATCTATTCTATTATCTATCTATCTACTATCTATCTATCTATCTATTATCTATCTAGTCTATCTATCTATCTATCTATCTATCTATATATTATTATCTATCTATTATCTATTATTTCTATCTAGTTATCTATCGTATCTATCTATCTATTAATCTATCTACTTATATATTATCTATTTATCTATCTATCTATTATCTATTATCTATCTATCTATCTATATATCTATTGTCTATCTATACGATGTGTATTTTATATATATATAATTATACATATGTGCAGAACGGCTATAGAGAGTTTCGCATGGATTGCACGATCACCTCCTTCGGTGTCAACGACTGTTCGGGAAGTAGCAACTATATTGTTAAGTTTTCGCGGACGCTTATACAAGGTCGGGCAGAATCAAAGATCCATTTATGATTGTTCTATATGTAACTTAATCATCTTTGCACAGAGTGGTGTTATTCAGGACATAAACAAAGCTAATTGCTATTTGAACGCCACGTGCCAAACGCCACTGCCAGCAACTTACCTATGTCGTCAAAGTCAAATAAGTCATCAGAAGGTTCTTAACCTTTGTCGATGCGCACCGGGGCGCAGTTCATGACGTCCATTACAGACGAGAATCTGGTCAAATTACGGGTATGTTGCAGGCTTATTGTGCTCCGTGCGCGATCATTTCTATATACCTGTGCTGTTTGTGTGCAGTTAGTGCTCACGCAATCAAACGACATTAAGAGGATGATAATGAGCCTGCAAAGTGCCGGTGACCTATAACGAGGAAGCCGCTAGATGACGATGTGTTTATCCAGAGTAGTATAATAGGGAGATATCCATTATCTATCTTGATGTTATTCGCGGTAGAATTGGTAAATGTCGCTTGAGTGCTGCTGCTTGCAGCTGCGCCAACGTTATTATGGTTGGTAGAAGGTAAACGTATGTATAACTGGAACGCTCGCCGACACCGCTACGAATGAAGCAGCACGCACACACACACACATATCCACATACAAACGCAGCACGCACGAACGCAAACACACACACACCACACACACACACACACGCAGCACGCACGCAGACGCACGCCGCAAAAAGCAAAAACACTGCGCCACGCGCACGCCCACGCAGCCGCACGCACACAACACAACACACACACACACACACACACACACAC